GTATAGCATACTGGCTAGACATTTATATAATTTAAGAAGTGATCCCCTGACTAGTACCACCTGGCACTATATATAGTTATTACCGTATTATTGATTATATTCCCTATACTTTACATCCCCATGACTATTTTTTAACTACCAATATTCTGGGGTTTTTTCTTATGATTTAATCACTAGGGCAATGAGAGCTAAAAGGAGGAGTAATGTGACTTTGTCAAGTCACCTTCTTTGCCCTTCGTGTTCCTAATTTATAAAATGAAAATGTGAGTCCAGGTTATCTCAAAGGTTGTCAGCTGAGAAATTATATGACATATACAGATATTTCTTAGGTGTATCATTATAAGCACAGATACTTTTTCCCCAGCTTTATTGAGATTATATTTATATATATAAAACATTGTGTAATTTAAGAAATGCAGTGTCCTGATTTGATATATTTATATATTGAAAATGATTACCAGTATAGCATTAGCTACCACCTTGATCTTATCACATAGTTATTTCTTTTTCCTCATGAGGATATTTAAGATCTACCCTCTTAGCAACATTCGAGAATATGATGCAAACTTGTTAATGTTATAACTGGAAGTTTGTACCCTTTGTAACTCCCCTGTCCCACCCCTCCAGCCCCTGGTAACCACCACTCTACTCTCTGTTTCTCTGAATTTGACTTTTTTAGGTTTTCTAGATACCACATATAAGGGATATCACACAGTATTTGTCTTTCTCTGTGACTTATTTCACATGAGAGATGAATCCTCATGGTCCATCCATTTTGTCACAAATAGCAGGATTTCTTTCTTTCTCATGATTAAACAATTTTCCATTGTATATATACATACCACATCTTTACCCATTCATCCATGGATGGACAGTTAGGTTGTTTCCATATTTTGCTATTGTTAGTAATACTGCAATGAACGGGGAATGCAGATATTCCTATGAGATTCTGATTTCAAATCCTGGTTACTGAATTATATAGTAGTTCTGTTTTTAATTTAAGTAATTTAATTTTTGAGGAACCTCCATACTGTTTTCCATAGTGGCTGTACCAATTTCCATTCCCACCAACAGTGCACTAGGGTTCCCTTTTATCCGCATCTTTGCCAACACTTGTTATCCCTTATCTTTTTGATGACGTCTTTCTAACAGGTGTGATGTGATATCTCATTGTGGTTTTGATTTGCATTTCCCTGATGATTGGTGATGTTGAGCATCTTTTCATGTACCTGTTGGCCGTCTGTATAACTTCTTTGGAAAAATGTCTATTCAGATCCTATGCCCATTTTCTAATCAGATTGTTTGGGTTTTGTTATTGAGTTATATGAGTTTGTTATATATTTTGAATATTAACCCCTTATCAAGAGATGATTTGAAAATATTTTCTCCCATTTTATAGATTGCATTTTCATTTTGTTGATTCTTTTGCTCTGCAGAAGCTTTTTAGATTGATAAAGTCCCCCTTATTACAGATACTTTTCTTATTGTTAGGACTGTTTAGTGATATAATTCTTTTGGTCTAAGAAAATGAGCAGAACTAGGCTATCTTTTTTTTTTTAATTTATTAAAAAAATTTTTTTTTTATTGGGGAACAGTATGTTTTTCCCGGCTCCATCAGCTCCAAGTCAGGCAGTTGTTTCAATCTATTGGGTTGTCAGAAATGTCATGACGTATTTTTTTCTGTTTTTCGTTGCAAAAATGCGTCATGACTTTTCTGACAACCCAGTAGTTGTGGAGGGCACAGCTCCGTGGCCCATGTGCGGATCAAACCGGCAACCTTGGTGTTATGAGCACTGTGCTCTAACCAACAGAGCTAACTGGATGCCCCTATACTTTTTCAGTGACCGTGTATTTCTGTTCCTGAAATCCCTTTAGTTTCCATAAGGTCCCTACTGATAGTGCTGTGGTGTGAGGGGGTAAAGATGGCTTTTGGAGTCTTCCTCAGTTCTCAGTTCCAGAATACGACAGGCCTGAATGGTAATGAAACAGAAGAGCCCATATTTCTCCAGCTCAGTCATGTCTTGAAACATTTTCGGACTCTGGGCAATATTTTGTTGAGTTAACACAAGATGAGAACAGCAAGTACCAAGATGAGCCTCGTGTTGACTTTATCCAGGTTTGTTAGTGAGCGTCCTCTTCTTTTCATGTACCTATGTCACTGTGTTTTCCTTAAAACAAAGATTTCCAGGAATCCAGCCATGAACAAATAGACTAGAGGTGGAGTAAATGAAATGAATGGATTAGCTGCCTAATTTTGTTTCAACCCACACTGACTTCTTTTAGTTTTAATCTGACCTTTATGTCTTAGAATGTGAACAATCACCTTACTTACTTTTTACTTGGTTTAGAAATGGCACCTTGCACAGCCACTCCATGTTCTAGAGACATGGGGTAAGTGGGTGGGTGTGGGGGTGAGTCCTCCTCTATAGGCAAAGTAGAGAGGGGTAGGCAGCATCTGCCTTCCATGTGAAGGCAGCTTTTTCTGCTGGATTAGTCATCTGTACTGTATCACACAGTCTAGTATATGTACTGTTGGAGTCATCGTCAGACCCAGAGGAGAGTTATAAATAACATTTTGGCAACAAAGTCTGATTCTTCTTTTTGAAATAATAGTGTACTGGAATTACTGAAAAGTTTACATTTACATGACTAAATATATGAACTCTTAAAGGGTAAGAAACCTTACAGTTAAAACCATTTGTTTGGAGTACTGTTTTTTTCCATCAAGCTGGACTCAAAAATCTCCTTCTAGATCTTCTAGGACAAGAGTAGGCTTCAGAGATTATGGTTCTGGTTTGGGGGAAGACATATCCAGCTATCACTTTGGAGGAAGTCCACTATTGTAAATATTTTTTACTCTCCCCCAGTCACGGGATCTGGGCATAGAATAGAAAGTGTCCTTGTCCAGGATGCCTACGTGTTGGTTCAGTGGCATTTTACCCCAGAGGCTGGTATAAAAGATGTGGATGTTTCCTTACTTTTCCAGAGAAACTAGACAATATACAGAGCATACTTGGTCAGGCTTATTTCTCATGTCTTTTCCATGTTGAACCAATCACAAAGGTAGAAGAACAAAACTGTAAAGTTTGAGGGCTTTTCTCACCCATTATCTCCATGCTATGGGATTATAAAAGGAATATATAATGAGGAGTGGTGTTGGTAGACAAATTGTTGGCAGTCAGAAATATAACGGGCTTAGCAGGAACCTCCATTAAATTAAGATGGAGTCAGAAGTGGATACTTGTACCTTTTCTTGCTTGTGTTGTGTTGGTTGACACTGATTTAACAGTTACTGTTGTGGAATTCTTAGGGTAATGTTGACACCAAGTTACAGGCCCTCAGCGCTGTCTAGTTAGTGTACTTCCTATCTGCTACCAATTTTCAGGGTTGATGCACGATTCCATATTCCTGACTCTTAAATGTTTACTGAAAAAAACAGTCATGTAATGAGTTAATGACAGTAATAATGGCAAAAGTGGGCAGTTAGAGTATACTGTGGAACATCAAAAAAACATAGCTGAAATCGTCTTAGAACCAATTGCAGCCTCCATTCATGGCTGGGTTCTTCTGGACAGCGCTCGTTTTCTCCTGAGGTGCTAGGACGCCCTCTGGTGGTTAAAAGAAATATGCACACAGTTACTTTGCTCCTTTGGTCAACTGCCCTTCAAGAGCACGTTTGCATCTCAATAAGTGGGTTTCCATCTCAAGGTTTTTGCTTCAATTTTTGTTTTCGGCAGAGCTCTGAAACTTCGAAACCAAACATGAAATAATGCAAGAACGCTGGCTGTCAGAATCTTGCTCTCTAAAGATGGATTTAGACTATTATTCTCAGGTGACCTTAAATAATAAACTAGATTGCTGCCTGCTTGAAAGAGGCAGGCACATGGAGGCAAGGCAGCATAGATTGGTAGTAATGAGAAGTCATGCAGGAAATTCTTCCTCTAGAGGGGCTTTTGGTAATGGCGCATTCTTATTCATTAGATTTTTTGTTTGTTTGTTTAATTGAGGACGATATAGACAATACTTTTTATTTCAACCCTTAGTTGTAGAAACATATTCAAGCCATTAGACTCCTCTTTCTGAATAGCAGACCATAGAAAACACAATTGAGGACCGGCTGAGTGGCTCATTGGTTAGGAGTTGGCTTGGGACATCAGCTCTGAGCAGCAGGGCCCCAGTTTGGATCCCACCTATGCGGGCCAGTGATGCTGCGCCCGCTACAGTTAAGATGGTGAACAACAGCTCGACCTGGAGCTGGGCTGCCAGGTGTCGACAGTGAAGGCTGCAGTGGGGCTGCCGGCTGCCGTGAGAGTGAGTGGCCAGCAACCAGAGTGAGCCACCATGAACGGCCGTCCAATGGCTGGCGACCAATCTGCCTCAGCTAAGAAGAGCGCAATGATAATACCAACACGGGCCAGTGAAGTGATGTCCTCCACAACTAGACTGAAGAACAAAAGGACAGCAACTTGTCTGTTCCCCTTCCGCGATTCCCCAATGCTGTTCCCCCCCCCCAATTCCCCAATAAAATTCCCCTTTAAAAAAAAATCAAAAACCACAATTGAAATTTTGATTTGAGTTCTTACAAGGACTGAGTCACATTCAGGATCACTGGACATTGCTGCTATTCTAGAAATCTAAGGATATAAGACATTGAATGGAACACCTCTTCCAAGTTATCTCTTGTTTTAATCTTCAATGCCTTTTTCTCCTGATATTATCTCTTTTATCCTAAAAATCAATTGTAAAGAAAAACCTGGTAAACGGGTGATTATATTTAGTAGAGGTTTTTAATTGAAAGTTTCACCTGTGCTTTCAGAGAACTTGAGGTGAACATATAGTACTTTTTAAAGATCATTTTCAGCTTGTGGTCCTATACTATAATTAGGGATTCTTAACCAGGAACTCACAGACCTCTTGAGGACCCATGGACAGGTGTCAGGGGGCCCATGAACCTCTGGGAATTGTAGACAGTAGTTGAGTTTCTTCCCTCCTGTGCTCAGTTGGCAGACGTGAATGGAGTCATCGAAGAGGAGTTCACCATGGCCCGTCTGTACATCAGCAAGATGAAGTCAGAGGTCAAGTCCCTTGTGAACCGCAGCAAGCAGCTTGAGAACGCCCAGATGGATTCCAACAGGAAGATGAATGCCAGTGAGCGGGAGCTGGCAGCATGCCAGCTGCTCATATCCCAGGTAGGTCATGCCTTTCCTCCTCATTTCACACCCATGTCCTCTGGAAATCTACTTCCTCCATACTCTTACTGGGGCTAATGGTGCGTAATAGGGATGTTGATGAACTTTGCTCTACATGTACTTGACCATGGCCTCCCCAGGCAATGACAGCCCAGGCTTATTCTTAACCCAGGCTAGATTTTGTTGTGTGAATTACATGGGTTACTGTCAGTCCCTTTTTAAGGGATGCGTCTATGGATCTCTATCTAGCTATCTATGGATAAGTAGGTAGATAGATAATAGATATAGATATAGATGATATAGATATAGAGATAGTATGGATAAGATTATGTGGAATCTAAAACTCCTTTCAGCAAAGGCAACATTCCTTCTTTTAATCTCTACCATAGGTCCAATTTAATGGGGTAAAACAGAAACTACTGCTACTTCAACTATCATTATTATAGTAGCAGGTAACATTTTATTGACTGTTGACAATGCACCATATACTGTCTAAGCACTTTACCGTATTTGCCGGCGTATAAGATGACTGGGCGTATAAGACGACCCCCTAACATTTCCACTCAAAATACAGAGTTTGTTATATACTCGCCGTATAAGACTACCCCCTCTTCCGCACACCTTCCACACACCAAATAAAAGGTAAAACAATATCAGATTTGATTTGGCCCACTGAAGTGCAAACAAGCGTATTGTATTTCGTGTCACCACATAACCGTTTTGGCGATGTTGAGCCACCATGTCTGCTACATGTTTTTCGAGTTCTGGCCAGTGTGGGGTGCCTCTTCTTAATGCACACTTACCCCTTGGCATACTCTTTAATGCTTTCTCATTTGATTTCCAGTCCCGAACCATCTTTTCTGTTACTCCGTATTGTCTTGCAGCAGCACAATTATTATTTTCCTTAGCAAAGTTTATAACTTTCAGTTTAAAATTTGCATCATACTTCTTTCTTTTGGCTGATGCCATGATAGGGATGATAGGGGTTTGACTGGTCGACATTTTCTATGCTGTACTGTACAATGGTGCAGTATTGTGGTTGGCTGTTGGCTGTATACAAAGCCTGATTTGATTGGTCCCTGCTCCCTGTTTGCCCGCCCTGTCACTATAGCAGTCTGGTCCACCCTTGCATCAGCATCTCCCTGGGACCTCACTAGTGCGCAAGTGCGAGCTCTTCAACATTCTAACAGGCACCATGATAGCGCAAAATCGCGAATCTTCAATGCATAATATGTAAAGAAATATACGGTAACCCGAATTACCACACTCGCAAAATCGCACACAGCCAACCATACACCCAGTATGGTATTGCGATTCGCGATTTTGCGCTATCATACTGGGTGTATAGTCGGCTGTGTGCGATTTTGCGAGTGTGGTAAAATCGCATAACAGCAAAATCGCATAACAGCCGAGCATACACCCAGCAGCGCTGCTGATGCCTGAACGGTATGTGGAATGAAGTGGGCGGGCATCGGGAGGCCACTATGGCACGGGGCAAGCACTATGGACAGTCTATCTGAAGTGTACCTGGCGTATAAGACGACCCCCCACTTGGAGGCATATTTTTCAGGGCCAAAAAATCGTCTTATACGCCGGCAAATACGGTACATGCATTATCTCATTTGATGTTAAAAAAAAATTCTGGTAGGAAGGTTTTATTATTGTTCCTATTTTTCTGATAAGGACACTGAGATTTAGATTAAATATAGTGTCCAAACTCATATAGCAGTGAAAGGCAGAGCTGGGACTCAAACCAACGTGTGTGAGAACCTAAAGTCTTGAAGGAATTTTCAAGCCTCAGGGCACATTTTGTCCACTCAGTGAGTAAGGCTGCTCTCCTTCCCATTGGAATGGCACTTTCAGTTTAGTAAGGTGATTTCAGAAAACAGCAGCCTAGTTTCTGGTCTTTCACTGTTATCTGAGCTTGGTATTTGGGACTTGAGGCTTCTGTGAGTGGTCCAGTATGTGCTGCTCGCTCGCTGTCTATATCAGGCATTCAACCAGCTGACCATTTGGGGAAACAGATACCAGCGCAGAGTGGTGCATCAGATAATACTGAGAGACAGACAAATGCATACTTCGTTCTGTATGCTTTTAACCATAATAATATGTAACCATAGAACTAACTCCAGCCTCCTTGTCTGTCACCGTAATAATCTAAGAGATGCAAACTAAAACATCAAGTTTCCATTTTATAACAAACATTATAAGCAAAAACGTGTTGAAAAGATTATTCCATGCTGGTGTGTGATAGTGAAATTTATATACACTATTCAGGAAAGTATAATTTGGTGAGTCCTTTTGGAAAGCACCTTGAGAATCAAAAACCGTAAAAATGCAAGTGCACTTCGGTTCAGTAATTTCACTCATGGTATTTTTTATCGGTAATGAAAATGAAAAATTTTCATTTCATATGGTATCATTTTCTGATTAAAAATATTAAAAGCTTATATGGAAGATGTTGAGTGCAGTAATACATTATAATAAAATAAAATACCTAAATATCTATTGGCAGAGTAATAGCATAAAGTTACATAGAAGAATATTATTCAACTCTTAACAAAAGATTTATAAAACCGAGCCATTTGGAAAATATAATTATATAAAGTTAAGTGAAAATGAAAATGCTTAGTTATATCTATGTTATCCTTTGCAACTTTATAAAATATATATTTATATAGATACACCAGGAATATATAGAAGAAATACAGTTGACCCCGGAACAACGTGGGGGCTAGGGGCACTGCCCCCCCCCACCCCCGCACCGGTGGCACAGTTAAAAATCCACGTATAACTTCTGACTCCCCAAATACTTAACTACCCCTGGAATCTGGAGGAGATTGGTTCCAGGAGCCCTCATAGATACCAAATTCCATGAATGCTCAAGTGCCCTATATAAAATGGTCAGTGCATACCAGTTAGTCCTCCACATTCGTGTACTGCCAAGTGGGGACTGAAAACAGGATAGGTATTTATGGGGAAAAATCTGTGTATAAGTGGGCCCATGTAGTTCAAACCCGTGTTGTTCAAGGGTCAACTTCCTTGATAAATTAAAGTGGTTTATGGGCAAAATTTTTATAGCACTTTTTCTGGTCTGCTTTACTATTTCACATTTTTATAATTTGTAAATATTGAGAAGAAAAATGATAACCATTAGGGCACTGCACCTCAATCCTGATATCCAGGTCATCTGTTATACTGATAGATAGCCTGTGCTTTTGGTTAGCCCTGCACCTGGCATTTGGAGGTCAAGGCCAGAGGACAAATGGAGGCCCTGTGGCCTGCAGCCCACTGTCTTCTCTTTCCATCGGGGCGTACGGGCCTCTGTATGCAAGCCCAGTCTGCACTTTCCGTGAACTGTGGAAACTATGTAACTGTGTCAACTGTAATCTATGCAAATGGATGGTGGAAGTAGCAGTGGGAGCCCTGGGAGTGGCCTTAGGGCCACTGGGGTAGGGAGTTTCTAGGTTCCCCTCAGAATGTGGCCTAGAGGGAATGTGGGTTCCAGGTGGGCATGGGCCCTTGGCCTGTGAACTCTGCTCAGGGGAATGGGATGCCGCCCAAGTGGGGTGCTTTACAGTGTGGGGCCCAGGTCTCAAAGTGACACTGACTTCGGGTATATGAGATGCGAGTCAAGAATATTAGGATGTTCTGGGGCTACAGAATACCTGTGTTAGTCAGGGCTTTCTTCTACATGGGCACCAAGTACAGTGTTCCATCAGGTGCTGTTTTGTACTCAGCTACAATTTGCAGAAGCTAAAGACTCAATCAGTATTTCCTGGGGTTCAGAAGTAAGAGAAACCTTGCTGTCTCTTTTCTGACAGGATCTAAGGAATCTGACAAGATGTTTCCAGCTAAAATGCCATTGTCTTCTTCGTTTACACTCACTTCCTTACCAAAAACTGTGCTTATAAAATGAGTGCTCCAACCGAGTCCCATTTCCCGGAGGTTATTTCATTAGATTAGAGCTCAGTATCTTGGGTGTCTGCATAAATGTGAACCCTGTAGATTTTGGGGTAGGGAAGAGTGTCTGCATATTTCCATCTGCCTAGAAGTGATTGCTGCTCTTATTCAGTCAATGAGCTCCCATTCATTTATTCATTCATTCATTCCACTTAACATTTATTAAGTACTAACTCTATAGCCTGATGGAGCTAACAAGTGAGAAACTAGATAAGATGAATTATGTATGAGAATACACTGGGGCCTGCATGATAAGGGATCTAGCCAAGTCCATGTCTCGGGGTGTTGAGGGGAGAGCTTACCAGGGATAGGAAAATGTAAAATGCAAAGTCCATGAGATAAGAATTGGTGAGTTTGAGAGACAGGGAAAAAACAAGCCATAATATTTGATTTACAGAGATGCAGTCCAGAGGTGCAGCCCTCAGCCCCTTTCTCCCCAGCACACACTATTTTCCATGAGGGAGGAACACCAGCCTGGGCTTGGGTGCCCCACTCACAGGGATGGCGAGGAGGAGCGTGGCCTTGAGGGGTGTCTGTAGGGCATGAAGCAGAGAAGCACACGGGAGAAATAGGGGACCCTGTTAGCCCATGGTCCCAGATCCCAAGCAAAGAGCAGAATATGCATCATGTGGGTATTAAATTCAAACAGGGACTCGAGAACTCCCCCTCCATTGCATTTTCCCATCAGACAGCCCCAGGCAAGCTGGAGTAACCGCCTGCTAACCATTCACTCTTCCTTTGTATCCGTGTGCTTTGTTTAAAGCATGAAGCCAAGATCAAGTCCCTGACAGACTACATGCAGAACATGGAACAGAAGAGGAGGCAGTTGGAAGAGTCCCAAGACTCGCTCAGTGAAGAGCTGGCCAAGCTCCGAGCCCAAGGTAAATAATTGACTGCTATGCAGGTGTCAAACTCTTGGCACCTATCTTACATCAGATACTCTCTCGTTGGCTGCACTCATCATGTTTAGTTTTGTTCAACTGAAGAATTTCAAGGTCTGCTGGCAACAATGGTATAATAGCGGGGGGGGGGGCGGGGGAATCAAAACATCTAGAACAGGGGTCGGCAAACTGTGGCTCGCGAACCACATGCAGCCCTTTGGGTACGTTCTGTCTCAAAACTTGGCTGACCCCTGGAAGAGCCAAACCTGTCCCTTACAACAATTTAAAAATTATTCGAGAGCCATAAATACATTTTTACATAATCACCATTATGTGAATAATATCCTTTAAAAGTTTTATAAATGAAACTATGATAGTTTTATTTTCATTTTCAATTTTACTTCAGAGCCACATGGACATGCCAAAAGAGCCACATGTGGCTTGCAAGCCACAGTTTGCTGACCCCTGGCAGCTCTTCCGTCTCAAAAGTTTGCCGACCCCTGATCTAGAAGACTGTCCCCACCCTATGTCTCTCCTCTCCCCATTTTCCCTCAGTCCACCGGGCTGCCCGAGTCAGAATCCTCTGCCTTCTTCGCTTCCTGGCTCCATTCTGTCACCAAAGCTTGTCTATTCAACCTGACAGACGCTTCTCTGTTTCTGCTCATCACTGTCCTTAATCCTAATTAAGAATTGTGACTACATCCATCTAGCGAGAATTCTACCCTCAGCCTGCTCTAGGGCAGCCACTGCCCAAGGGACTATTCAAAAATGAAATTGTGTCTTGTGTCCAACCCTATGCCTCTGACCTTCCATGGTATCCTGTTGCTCTTAATATGAAGTCTGAATTTCTGTCAGTGACTTAGCCCTTCCATCCTTTGAACAAGGCGCTGTTTTTGTCCAGCGCCTCCCAATTCCCTTTGCTTAGGGAAGTACCCAACACAGGAAGCACTCAATAACTATGAATAAATAGAAGAAATTTCAAAAAGGTGGCTAGAAATGCAGAAAGCAGAATAGGATTAGGAATATATATGCATTGTTGGTGAAACAGGAACACACATATTATGATTTGCAATTAAAATTGTTAGGGTTCTTTTGGGAAGCATTTTGAAAACCATGCTAATAATGGTAACACTTTTCATACCTTTTGATCCTCGAATCTCAAATATTCATTGCAGAATTACTTATATTGGTGGGAAAAAAGGGAAGCCACCTAAAGGCCTGGCAGTGAAATGAACTATGGTATACGGTTGAACAAAACATTTTTTCTATATTGGAGGTGAAGTATATGAAGGCTGCAGCAATGCTTATAGTGCAACCTTGGATGAAAAATCATAATATGTAATTTTTACGGTGGTTATAACATTTAAAAATCAATGGATGCATGTGTTCCAAGGCCTACACATTACTATTTGTAATGAAAATGGTTTTGATAGGGTCACAGAATTGGTAATGTTGTCACCCTTTTTTGTTTCTTTTATTGTTACAGAGTTATTTGCTCAGTAAATACATTTTGTTTCAAATGCTAAGGCAAATTAAAAAGGAGAACATACCCACCTCCTGCTATGACCTTGTCTTGTTTTCTTTATGTGATAATGGATGAATGTTAGGAATAGAATGTTCTACCTAAAACTGACACAGAAAAGAACTTTAGTAAAATTGCTTCTGCAGTGATGCCACTGGGTGGAGATAAAATAGAAGTGAGAAGACCTGAAATAAAGTGGAACAAACTAGAAAGGAAACATAGTGACTTGAATGTCTCTGTCTTAAACAATTTGCTTCATCCACCCTCACCCCTCAACTCAGGCTGTCCATTGCACAGTGTGCTCAGGGGGGCCGCTGGCCCAGAACAAGCTGGGACCTGGCCCCGAGGTGTGCCACACAGTGGCCCTGTCCAAAATATGGGGCCTTCTGGTTCGTCTGGAGAATGTGATGTTACATTTCTATTTTCTTTGTTCTTATCCTTACATTGTTTTCCTGCTCTAGGTTCTTAGAGAATAAACAACTTACCCATGGGAAGTAAATTAGCATTTTCTGGAACTCTAATAGTGGCGTCAATCCAAATGCCACTCACCTTCACAGAGCGCTATTTTATAATCCACAAATCACGTTTATGTACTTTGCCTCAGGGATCACTCATGAGGCCAGGTGGGGAACCAGTCCTCCCAGGTGTGAGGTGATAGACAGCCAGGCCAGTTTTCGAATGGCCCGCTCCAGGTTAGCGCCTTCCCCTACACTTGTCAGTCCCCAACCTCCAGACCTCAGTAGTGTCCCCGAAGTGGTCAGCCTTGCTTTAGCCGGAAGTCCTCCTCCGGAGGTACACCCCTTTGTACCATGGTTGTAATGGGTGATATAAGCTGCTATTTCACAACATTATCATTTTTCTTTTTTGTTTGTTTGTTTTTTAATTTTTACTTTTGGGTGTGAGTCCACCAGTTAAATCTTAAATCATCATTTTAAAATTCAAAACAGAAAAAATGCACGAAGTCAGCTTCCAGGATAAGGAAAAGGAACATCTCACGCGGCTGCAGGATGCTGAGGAAATGAAGGTGCGTGTGCCGCCCCTTCCCCCAAGCCCAGCATGCACCTGGACTGGGTTTTCTTGTTCTAGGAAAATCTGCCTCCTTCAGAGACGTGTGTGGCAGTGTAGGGGAGAGAGGGGAGGGGCCGATGTTGGGCCATCAGAGTCATTCTCCGAGTGTGAGGCTTAGAAATGAGATGGACACGGAGGTGTCCAGAAACCCTGAGAGGTCTATACATAATAGTTATGTTGCCTTTGTACATTTATTCTTACCCGCTCCTGACGAAGAGGAAAAGAGCGGCACCGCCCAGGCTCTGCCTGGGCCACACTGTCAGGTTAACTCCTGAAGAAATGTTTGCCACTCCTTTGAATGGAAGTAAATGTCTCTCCCCTCTACCTTTTTTACAGAAACATGCCAAGTTTGAATTTCCATCTTAAACACAGAGATCTTTATTTTTGGTTACATTTTTAAATAGTAAAGGAAAATGGTTGAAAAATGAGATTTTTAGGTGAATAAAATGAAACACGAGAAAATGCAGAATTTTGATTAGTTTTGGGTGAACTTGGAGCCCATAGTTAAAGTGAAGCCTAATTCAGGATCCTGTCGCAGCCGACATCATAACCCTGACTCACGCTGGTGGCCCGCCCTCCTGGTTTTGAATTGCTTTGGTGTGAGGTCTCCTTTGAGCATCACCATCAATCTGCAGTGCACAGGGCAGGAACAATGATCTAAATTGTGCAGGTGAGGAAGGTCAGCTCACACACGTCACATGGCTTGTCTGAAGTCATCCAGGTAGTAAGAGGTCTGTGCCCTCTGATTGATGGGGTAGAGAAGCCATGTAGCTGACGTGAGCTGCAGAAGGTCATGGGGAAACTATTGAATTAATGGGCAAGTTTGCTCCTAGTGCTCACTCCACTTTGTTGTTCCAGTAAAGCATGGCAGGTTCTGGGGGCCCCCAGTCTGGGGACCTGACAGTCAAAGGGCGTCAGAGATAAAAGCGATCCAGAGCTTGTCACAGTGTGGGCTGAGGGCCAACAAGTGGATGACACATTTCTCTTGGCCTGGCTTGCAGAAGGCGCTGGAGCAGCAGATGGAGAGCCACCGGGAGGCTCACCAGAAGCAGCTGTCCAGACTTCGAGATGAAATTGAGGAGAAGCAGAAAATCATTGATGAAATTCGGGAGTGAGTTGGCACAGGGGGCTGTTGGGACGTGGGGGTGGTCATGGCACTTGGACCAGCCTGGAAGGACGTGGCTGTCAGCCGAGGCCTCTGCTGTCCTGGCCCTGTGCCCTGCCCTGGGGCCACAGCGGCTGTACAGGCTGCTCCCCAACACTGTTCTCCCATCTGGAGCCGAGCCTCAGGGGGCGCTGATGGGCAGGTGGCAGGCGAGCCCAGCTGCCCTTCCCAGTCCGCCCCCGCAGAGCAGTGTTATGTTGGTGACTCAGCTGGCTAAACACATGTCCCAGTAGGTGGGGACACTGTCTATATGAAAGTACAAAAACAAAAAACAAAAACCCCCCCAAATTGGCCCTAACTCGGGTTCTGATAGGTTAATAAAGACTCCAGAGAAGACAGTCAGTCGGCTCTGGGCACCTCCTCGCCACAGCACAAGTCTAAGCCACCTGGTTGCACACACACAACTCTTAGGGACCCACACTGTCCTGTGTCTGTGCTTGGGGACCTGTGACATTCACTGGGATGGCATCATTGTAGCCTGTCTCTGGTGACACCTTCTCAAGGCCATTCTCCTGCACTGTCCTAGCCGGGAAGGGCCCCTGCTCTGTAGCTGCCTCTCCCTCGTCCTCTCTTGCCTCCCCTCCACATTGTCACACAGGTCACCAAGCTGGGAGGTACCTTCAGGGTCCCCTCCTGAGGCTTCTGGCTTTTTTGCACAGTGAGCCCCTAGGCAATTTTTGAGCCTCTTTACAAAATAGTGTTTTTAAATACCCCAAGTAAAAGACATAATAAAACAAAGAACACCAATTTTGTTGAAATACAGCTCTGTCCACTGGCACCCCCACCCCTGCCCCTGCCCCCAAGGTCTAGACCAGAGGTTCTGCCCCATCCCTCTCCCATTTTCTATAGATGGAGACATGGATCTCCCTATATGGGAAGCAAGGTGAAATGGTTTACTGAGGGTCACACTGCTAAATAGGAATCAGACTGGAGTTAGAGTCTAATCCAACGACTGAGCCAAATCTCTTTTCAGTGTATGTGAGCTGCTTCCATAGCACATTTGCATTTTAAAGGAGGAGAATGGTAGTTGAAGCGAAAGAGTAAATGGTGTGATGGGGCTCTGTGCACACAGTCTGTGTGAGGAAAGCGTTGTCTCTCCCCTTCTCCTTCCGGCCCCGCCATGCTATCTTTCATGGTATGCTGTCTCCTTCAAACATGTCTCGTGTTCCTTTTCCAGATTAATCACTCTCAAAGTGCTCAATTAGAAGAGGAGAAGAGGGAGAGAAGGAAGGCGAGAAAGACGGAGCTAGTTAGCAGGGGGCTTTGTTTCCTGGGCCTGCGCCTTCTCAAAGGGACTGAGTTTTCCTTCAGAGGGTGTATGATGTGTTCCTGACAGTCACTCAGGCATGGCCACAAAAGGGGTTGTAAGTGTCGGGCTGATGGCATCGTTGACCAGATGCCCCCAATTAGATGGCAAGTTTCTTTTTTTTTCAGAGATCCTGAACTTTCTTTGTGTTTCCTCTGTCTGTTCCCCTCCTCGAGGACTTCACAGAGAGGAACTGTCCCTGTGTCGGCCAGGAACTTGGATTTAGGAGATGTTTTCAGGATATGGGACCAGAGAGGAAGGGAAGGTCGAAATACCCAGATAAGATTTCGTGAGTGGGTGTACACTGTCTGTAGGGCAGACGGCAGAATTCTTCTGACGGGCGCTCTTTTTGTGTTTGAAAATATCAGCCTTTACCCATCTCATTATTTTCCCCTTGAAAATCGCGCGCAAGCCAACTACAAATACTCCTCAAAGCCATGTGTTTCATGTGTCTCAGATGCTCCCCAGAAATTGGTTTTCACTTCAGCAGGGAAGAAGCTGTGAGGTTGTTCTTTGATCCCTCAAAACCCTCCAGAATTGCCGCCTTTATTGCACAGAACTAATGGGGTTGGAACACAACCACGTCTTTTTCGGGATGACTCGGAATTTTAGATTGATGTAGAATGGATTGCTTTTCTTCTCTCCATTTCAGTTTGAATCAGAAACTGCAGCTGGAACAAGAGAAGCTCAGCTCTGATTATAACAAGCTGAAAATCGAGGACCAAGAGAGAGAAATGAAACTGGAAAAGCTCCTGTGAGTGCACTTGAAAGATTTCCTCTGTTTACTCTCATCCCGGGAAGGTCTTAAAAAGTCTATTTTGGGGATTCTGATACACAAATATTCTGGTTTGGTTGAGGCAATTAAAAAACAGACAATGGCTATTTGTGTGAGTTGGTTTGTTTTGTTGATATTTCTGAAGATGCCAGTGGTACCTAAGGGGATCTCTGATGCCCCCTTGGTGGTTCATGATTCCTTTTTGTTTTTTAGATTGCTCAATGACAAACGGGAACAAGCCAGGGAGGACCTCAAAGGGCTGGAAGAGACAGTGGTATGTCAACTTGTTTCCCAACTCATTTTAGCCTCAAAGATCAGATTAGTGTATGATTTGTTGAATTTGTTTATTCTAAAGTTCTATCTGTGCACACCTTTCGCGTATCTTTTTAGACATAAAATATCCTTTGGGAAAGTGAGAGTTGTTGAATTAATTCCCCAGCACTTAGCAGAATGACTTACCTTCAGTCCATCCATCCATTCATCCATTCATCCATTCATCCATCCACCCATCCATCCACCCATCCATCCATCCATCTATCCATCCATCCATCCATCCATCCATCCATCCATCCATCCATTCATCTATCCATAATTAGTGCTGTAATCCTAGAACCCCTGAGTAAGAATTGAACTAAATTGTCAATCAGTGCCTGCAGTTTTACAGCCTTCGCACTTTGTGAATTACTTCCATTCAACAGTAACAGATATTTATGGAGCACCTACTAAGGGCTGGCATTCTTCTAGATGCTTGGCACGAACCAGTACACAACAGATAAGATCCTGGCTCTCGTGAAGTTTACCTTTAGCTCAGGGAGACACACAATGAATAATAAGGAAGTAAATCATGCACTCCGTTGGATGGCTATAGAAAGTGAGGAACAGAGTGGTTGGGGGAGGCACCATGAGGAGGTAACATTTGAGCAGGGACTTGAAGCTGTGAGCCATTGGGAGGTTTGGGGCAGAGCCTTCCAGGCAGAGGCAGCCGCTTATGCCAAGGCTCTGAGGTGAGCCCATGCTTGGCATGTTGGGGGACAGCAGGGAGGTCAGTGTGGCTGTGGCCAAGTGAAAAAGGGGGTAGGAGGTGGGCATGGAGAGGTCAAGGTGAGAGGTCAAGTTGCTCTGAGATCTGTAGGGTTTGGGGCAGGGGAGTAACAGATCCATTTACCTTTGGAAGCGCTCATCATTGGAAATCCCAGCTGGTTTTCTCTGTCCCGCATCTGAATTCATTAGGTTTGTCTCCTCTGGTCAACTTCCATTTCAGTTGCTCTAGAGCAGCGGTTCTCAACCTTCCTAATGCTGCGACGCCTTAATACAGTTCCTCATGTTGTGGTGACCCCCAACCATAAAATTATTTTCGTTGCTACTCTATAACTGTAATTTTGCTACTGTTATGAATCATAATGTAAATATCTTTTTGTTTTCCGATGGTCTTAGGCGACCCCTGTGAAAGGGTTGTTCGACCCCCAAAGGGGTCGCGACCCACAGGTTGAGAACCGCTGCTCTAGAAGCTGGCTTTCTGGTTCTGCAGGCATCGAGGGCCCTTCAGAGTACCACACACCTGTGTTTGAAGGCAGACCACCCCAGTATCACCTCTCAATTTGGAGAAACATCTCCAGTTATCTCACATGATAGAACAACAGAGAGACACTGTTATATAGATACAGCCGTACATTTTGATTCCATTCATGTGTTCTGGGAATTTCTGTGAGGCTGAGCCTGTTTCTAAGAACCTGGTGACCCCAGCCTGTAGGCAGTGGTTGGTCAGGGCTGCCCCTGAGGCTGCCGTCTGGCTCCTGGGCCAGTGCTCGTTGATTCTCAAAGCCAGGTGGAAGAACAGGGCACAAGCCATTCAGGACAGAAGCAAGATGACTGTTAAAGGAAGTCAGACCTTTTAAGCATGCTGGACAAGACTGTGGACAGGGTGGCTGTAGGGGAAACTAAAAGGAAGTCGTGAAATAGCTTCATGTAGGTCTATTTTTACCAGAGAAGTGATATTCATAATTATGATTATAAGAATTCAGAAAAATTTTGAACATTAAAATGGTAACTATACTCTCATCAGCCACAGAGAAATGAAATTTCAGTATCTGTTTTTCCCCCCATCATAGCCACCCTTCCACGCGCTCCCACAGATGTTCACTCATTTACCTTCCTCTCTCTCACGGCCTCCCTCACATTAACAACTCCCTCACCCACACTCATGCACAATCACTCATTCTCACACGCACATCATTGCACTTCATACACATTCACACCCATGGTCACTTATACCACACCGCACTCCCATACCCACAGGCCCTCATGTTCACGTTCTCACACCTGCACTCGTGTGTATACTCACACGCCTTCACGCTCATTCATACATAAGCACTTACAACTTGCACACACTCAGAACACCCCCTTAACACACTCACACTGACTCATGATTGTTCACACTTTCTCACACACTCACACGTTTGCACATTCATGTGCACTCATTCACTTTCACACTCTTGCTCACCTTCACTCTCACATCTTCTCACACACCCACTCTCTCAGCTCTCGTGCTTTCTCTCGTTTATCACCACTCTGAACATATTCTTTTGCCTTTTTGATGTTTTGAATACATTTTTTTAAGACATTTTATTGGGGAACAATGCGTTTTTCCAGGACTCATCAGCTCCAAGTCAAGTAGTTGTCTTCAGTGTTGTTGTGGAGGGTGCATCTCAGTGGCCCATGTGGGGATCGAACAGGCAACCTTGGTGTTAGGAGCACTGCGCTCGAACCACCTGAGCTAACCGGCCGCCCCTTGAGTACATTTTTGAACAACACATTTTCCTCACTGGCCTCCTTATAGCTATCCCTGGGCTCTCTCCCCCTCCCACCTGCTTATTCACATTCCCACACACACACACGCATATGCCTGCCTCCTCTCTCCTCTCACACACTCAGTCACTCACACACATATGCTTTTTAAACCAAAGTTTGGAACCTCCCCAGTATATGCCATTTTAGTCTTGGATGTTTTCACTGAACTTCTAATGTAATCCTCCCCGAGCTGTAAATGTTCTTCAGACACAGGCTCGCTGTCCGTGGCTGTCCGTTCTTGAGCCGCCTTAGCTTGAGGCCTGTTCCGTCTCTCTGAGTGTTTGGGCGGGGGTGGGGGGTGGAACCTGCGTCCAGGGGTGGGCGTCTGTGACGCCAGCTCCAAAGAACGACGTTGGAAAAGGCCGACTGGCCATTGAGGCCGTCTCTGCCCCCCAAGCAGCCTCTTTGGCTTTAACAGGACACTCTGTCTGGGCTCTGGGGCTGGAGCTGCCTCTTGCTGCATGGACGGGCTTCCTGTTTCTACCTCTCAGGCCCCACCCTCACTGCCCGCCTGCCAGGAAGCTGAGCCCCGAGCTTCTACACAGAGGGCAGTGGCCTGTGTTGGGCAAAGATCTGAGGGAAGCGAGCCAGGGTCGGGGTGGGGAATGATAATGAATACGATGGAGGAGAATTTGTCCCTGTAGGAAGCCAAATGATAGTCACCTAAGCGTGAATATGCATAAGTATAACTTACAAACTATGGTATTTTAAAGTTTTTTAGTTGCCCTCCAAAACAGTTGAATTCACATAAAAACAAACATGAGGGAAAGCCACCAAACTTGATATTCTATATTATTCGGTACTTATGCCCAAGGAAATGCCCGGCCCTCTGACAAGGCACTGTGACTTCTCATTTTCCTTTGGTGTGGTGGCGTTTTTCATGGAAAGTATTTACTGTGATTACAGTTTAATCAGTAATAAAATCCCTGAAGTGGGAGGGAGAGCGTGCAGAGCAGGGGGTTGGGGACAGAGCTCCCTCAGGCACGGGCGGGGAAGAGCGTGTCTGCAGAAATGTGGGCACTGAGCTGCTCCCCTGCACCTGCCTTGGAAGGTGGCTAAGCCTTAGGCAGGTACCATGTGCACCGTGTTCATAATAACAGGCCCGTTTGGCTTCCTGCAGAAAGTAATTTGCTTCATCCGAGGAAGCAATTGACTTCAGGTGCTTCTCATTTCAACCCAGAATTACAAAATTGGACCCAGTCATAGGACCTAAATTAACACAGAACCTTTATTCCAAGAAACTTAGTGTTTCCATAGCTGTATAGTCTGTTTTTTCCTTTTTTTCTGTGAGCGTGTGTGAGCTGCATACCTTGACATCCTGTGTCAAAGTAGGTCAACTTAGACAAATTGAAAAGTATACATGCGAGCTTATGTCTCTCGTTCTCCCTTATGGAAAAATAGTTTGTAAGGAACTAATCATAATATATGAGACTTGAGTGGAAGGAAGTATTTCGGTTTTCTGATCTTGTTAACAAAGGCCATCAGGTTTGATTCAGGCCCTTGGCGCAGCAATCGTAATTCCTAAGGATTCATTTGTAGCAAATAATCTAAAATGAAGGAAAAAAAAAACCGCCCCTAAGAAGTCAATTACACTGAAGGTTATGACAACAACCACCACCACAACAAAAGGAAACAGTAAAAACCTATTGAGGCAGTGGCTGTCAAATATGGGGCATCAATAAATGAAAGCTAGCTAATGTTTACTAAGCACTAACTATGTGCCAGAAACTGTTTTTATGTGTTTTATAAGGATCATCTCATTTAATCTTGACAATAACTGCCTTATCCATAAGCTCAGTGATGCAGAGCGAACGGACCTGTGGACCAGGGCCAGAAGGCAGTGGAGAGACGTGAAAATGGTCAGTCGTTAGGGTGGGAGAAATTGTGGCTAAACTTTCCCTTAACCTTGTTGACGTTATATTTAATGCGTATGAGAGAAATTAGAAGACAAAAAGAATCCATTTTGGTACAGCACGACCCACTAGGAATTTTGGTGAGAAAACTTTTGAACGTTTGTGGTTGAGGGAGAAAAAATAACGGTTCCACTCAGAACACAGCGAATGAGCAGGCTTTGTTCTAGTTTGCGGTTCACTGAATTCCCAGCCTCTGCACTGTGGGGTGCTGCTGAGGTAACGCTGGGTGGAGGGGTGGACATGGGTGGTGAGCAAGTCAGAGGAAATGCAGGACCACGGCCTCGACAGTGGGCTTGTAGAGCAGGTGGGGAGATATTTGGGATTGATGGTCTACTGCCACATGGGCAGTAAATTCTGTGTGTCCTCCTCTTTTTTTTTCTTTTTTTTAAGATTTTATTGGGGAATTGGGGGGGGGGAACAGTGTTGGGCAATCGGGGGGAGGGGGACAGACAAGTTGCCGTCCTTTTGTTCTTCAGTCTAGTTGTGGAGGATGTTGCTTCACTGGCCCAAGTTGGCACCATCATTGTGCTCTTCCTGGGCGAGGCAGATCAGTCGCCGGCTTCTGGACGGCCGCTCATGGCGGCTGCTGGCCACTCATGCTGGCTGGTGGCTACACGGTAGCCCATGGCAACCCACTGCCACAGGGGCTGCAGCCTACTCTGTCACTGGGGACTCATGGCAGTCCAGCTCCAGGTTGAGCTGCTGTTCAGCATTTGTGTGTCCCTCTCTTAAGTGGCATTTTAACAATCTTCTCTTCCAGTCTCGAGAACTGCAGACCCTGCATAACCTCCGTAAACTCTTCGTCCAGGATCTGACCGCCCGGGTTAAAAAAGTAAGTTCCATTTTGTGTGACTGGGACTGAGAAGCAAAGCAAAGATAGCCAGAAAGAATCATTTTCAGTTGAAGTATTACTTGCTTAAATTGGGGCTGGTTATGCTTAAACATTAATTACTTCATGCCAGAGAATGTTATTAAAAGAATGTGCTAGAGGCGAAAATCACTGGGGAACATTTTTCCATCTGAGTTTTTCTTCTTAGTAAAAAGGAGGTTATGATCCTTTCCCAGGCTTTTATTTCAAACGAACGCATATTTGTCTGACCACAGTGTGAAAGTCACTGTGCACGATGCAGAGAAAGCCCAGATGGGTCTCGTCAGACAGCGTTCCCCAAAGCCTGGAGAGCAGTGCTAGACACAGAGGAGAGAGCCTCGCGTTTGCCTGTTCGGAGGCCAGTGGGGCTAGGCAGCGTATGAAGCGCTGTAACGTTCCGTGTCTTAAGCTCTTCCCAGCAACCATGTAAGTGGTTCTTAGTGTTCTGTTTTGCAGATGTAGAGATAGGCTCAGAGGTTCAATAACTGGCCCAAGATCGCACAGCTGGGTAGAGCCAGAGATAGGATTGGGATGAGATCTGTGAGCCTTCTGCATCTGAGCTGCTTTGATCTCAGGGAGTTTGCTGAGGTTTAAGAAGGGAGGGGGAGGTGGAAGCAACAAGGGGGCTACTCTTTAAGTGTTTAGGAGTGATGGACAAGGAGCCATGGGCCATATCCAGAGGCATAATAGCATGGAGGGTGTACTTAATAAAAGTGTGGGCAGTGTGCGTGTGTGTGTGTGTCTGAGAAGGGCCAAGGGAAAGAGGTGAACTATATGAAAAAGGAGGAGGTGATTGCTAGAGTCAGATCCGAGGGGGACAGAATTATTAGCATAGATGGATGTGTTAGGTGTGGTAAGGGAAGGGACACATTTTCCCAGAGAGAAGTGGAGAAGTTAAGATGGAGACATTTGCAGGAAGTAGTAACAATGGTAAGAGATGCATCTGAGGACTTTGATCTTCTCAGGTATGTGGAGGCTGTGTTCCATAGAGAAGCAAGGAAGAGACTGGGGCACCCACAGAGACTTGAGGAGGCTCAGGCAGCTGCAGGGGGAAGTGTCTAGGGATGAGGAAAAGGATTGTTGAGCAGTGGTGTGAGTGTCCAGCAGAGGGTCAGAGCATGGGTTTCCTGTGGGCCCTGACAGCATGGGTCTAGCGAGTTTGGAAGCCTGGAGATAAAAATAAAGAAAAGGGTGTAGGGGACGATGGGAGATTTCAAGGCCTGAATGGCAATGGTCAGGCAGGTAGGTAGAAACCACAATCATTAAAATAGAAATAACCATAGGACCTGGACCAGGTGGGAGAGAAGGGCCAGAGCAGAGGTGATGGACAAGGAGACTAGAGGTTATGACAAGAACTGAAAAGGTTCAGTTGGAGAGAGGAGGTGGTCTGAGGGAGGGTGAAGAGCTTGAGATCAGAATTCCCTGGTTTCTTGATATAAAACTCTAGGAAGGACCAGCGGTTCTCGAAGTGTGGTCACCTGGCCAGCCTCATTAGCATCACCTGGGAGCTTGTTGGGTATGCACGTTTTCAGACCCACCTGAGACCCACCGAATCAGAGACTGGGGTGGCGCCCAGAGACCTGAGTTTTAGCAAATCCTCCTCCTGGTGAAGTTTGAGAAACTTGGTGTTAGACTGAAGAGACACAGGCTTGAGATACTCATACGGCTGTTACCTGTCAGAAGAAAAAGGATGATGATCTCTTCTGTAATCAGATGAGACAAGCAGGCATTGCCATTTTGGGACTCCAGGATGTGTCTGCACATGTATTTCTCAACCTGTCCGGCTGCTCAGCTTAGCAGTGCCAGGAGGACAGCACCTTTGCCAGTCTCAAGATCTGATAAACTTCAAGAGTTTACCCGACACAGCACTCAGATGCCGTGACTAGTTTGAGAGGAATTCACTAAGGAACTTCAGAGAAGTGGAAGCTGGAGGGGCAAGCAGAGGCCACGGAGAGTCCCTATGCGAGCATAATAGAGACTTTCCCACAGCTTGGCGACTTGTTATCTCAGTCGTGATGTTTGAAATCAACTTTAGGTCTCGGGATTATGTTTCCACGTTGGTTCTTCTTAGTAAGTTTTGGAACTTTTCCTTTTGAAAAGAAAAGTCTCTATTTACCTACCTGCAAGGGGGAGGTATATTTTACAAAGAGAACTTAATTTGTATGTTTCAAGAGATTTGAAGTTTTTTCCCCCAAGCCTCTAAAAATCACACTTTAACACTTTTGACATCAACCAAGGAAATTAATTGGGAAAGTCATTGAGTCTGAACTTTTAGAACGTCTGTTTATTTTCATTTTCATTTTCTAATGTTTGGTGGGATTGGGAACTTAAAATAAATGCTTTAGACTGTCTTGTCCACACTAACTAAGCTGGGGCTGGCGGTGGGCAGTGCGAAGGCTTGTCTCGCTGACCCCTTGCTGTGATGCAGAGCGTAGAGCTGGACAGCGATGACGGAGGGGGCAGTGCTGCCCAGAAGCAGAAAATTTCCTTCCTGGAGAATAACTTGGAGCAGCTCACTAAGGTTCACAAACAGGTAGGAGTTGGCCAGCTTCCTTCTGCTTCTCTCTCCCGGAATGGAGCCCCGCTAGATTTGGCCTCAATGCAGGGAGACAGCTCTGATATTGAAGAATGTTTGTGCTGGAAGGGTCCTTGGAATCCTTTGGTCCTTAGTGACTTCCCTTATGTGTAAACTACTTTTATTTTATCGAAGCCAAATATAAGGAATTGAGTTGGAGTTCTCTGGGGCTTGGGGAGTGGGATGTTAAGAGTCCTGCCTTGTCATCCTGCCTCCATCCCCTTCCTAACTGACGTCAGTGTCTCGCATGATGCCTCTGAGGCCCCCCTGGACCCAAAGACTCCACAGAAGGCAAAGTGGACACTGCCGAGCTGGTCCGGGCCCCTTGCTTTTACAGATGAGGAAACAGACTTGCTTCATCTCGTGGGTGGTGGAACCAGGACAGGACTGCCCCCTTCTGCTCTGTCGCTCTATTTCTTGGGCACTCTGTCATGTTCTTGTGATGCCCTGGAGTTTGTTAGAGTCACAGAGAGCAGTAACCGTGTCCAAACCTACTCGTGACTTAGGCAGATTATTTGTCTCCTTTCTGTTTGAATGCTGGGATGTTCATAACTGTTTTCCCCAAATCCTAAAGATTTGGGATGCGATGGAAAGGGTCCATCTTTATGGGCCACAGGGGTGAGGGGATGTCACTCCTCTTTCACTTGTTAAGTGCTCCTCAACTTTACTGATGATGACATTTTTCCCCAAGGGAGGACCACAACTTCAACATGGTTGAAGTCATCCAAACAAACAGTTGATGAGACATAGAAAAGCAAAACCCCCCAGGGAATAGGGCTCTGAAATTCATTAATTATTTTTGTTTTATGAATTCAATGAATATTTATTAAAAACCTGCTCTCTGCCAGGCACTGGAGCTGGTGCTGGGGGTACAGAGGTGAAGAACGCAGATATGGATCCTGCAATAGTTCAACCTTTGTATAACACGTTCTGCTTTTCAAAACTTTTCTCCGGAATCCCACAGGGGTCCTGTTATGTCCTTTTTTTATAGATGAGAAGCCCTAGACTAGTAGGGTTCGAATGACTGGCATCAAGTCAGACGGCCAGGAAATAATAGAGCTGGTTCTTGAGCCCACTCCTCACCCAGGGGGAGCCTGTTGCTTCTTCACTGAGGCTCTGAAGTCATGAATGAATGAGCGGTACCCACAAGTTACCTGTTACAGGGCAGGGTCCAAACCAGATGCTGCTATAAGCATGGGTCCTGCACCGAAGGGGGCCTTCAGAGACTCTAGAACATGTGTCTTTCACTGAGTGCTTTTGCTTTACGTTTGTTAGCTTTCACATGCTGAAGTCAGAGTACTGTTTTCTCCTTCTATTCACTCTCCCCCCCCCCCCCCGCCCACACACACACCCATCCTAACGAGAGGAGTAAATCCTGCCCAAGCCTGAAAGTTTCTGTTGACTAGAAATGGCTTTTCATTTTATTCTACACTCTTTATCCCCTTCCTGACACCCGTGAATCATATATGTAGGAAACTGGACTCCCAGAGTATGGGGTTTTATTTTTCTTTGCTGCTCCCGGACTTGATGGTCATAGGGACTTTCCACCCGGCAGGGTGTGGTCAGTCAGCTGCAGAGTCTGCTGCTAGCTGGTTTCCGATCACATTCTCTACCGCTCTCCGTATCCCCCCACGATGGGTCTACTCCTCCTGCCCGCCCCACTGCCCCCCTGGTAACTCACCACTCCTCCCCCTCCCCCACCTCCTGCCACCAGCTGGTCCGGGACAACGCAGACCTGCGCTGTGAGCTGCCCAAGCTGGAGAAGCGGCTGCGTGCCACGGCGGAGCGCGTCAAGGCCCTGGAGAGCGCGCTGAAGGAGGCCAAGGAGAACGCCATGCGGGACCGCAAGCGCTACCAGCAGGAGGTGGATCGCATCAAGGAGGCCGTGCGGGCCAAGAACATGGCCAGGAGGGCCCACTCGGCCCAGATTGGTACGTGTCCTCCCACTGTCACAGGTACCCTCTCACCTGGGCCCTTGCTAAAAAGTGAGGACTCCTCTGGCCTGAAGCACTGATGCCCTGAGGCCGCCTGGGCGGTCTGCGCGCTGGAACGTCAGAGAGGCTGCGGTCACACCTGCAGGACCCTCCCAGTACCCTGGGCTCATCCTGGGAGAACGGGAATGTCAGGCTCCCACCTCCTTAGACTGAGAGATTCCAGCGTGCATTGCGGTTTTCAAAGCTGCTGGGCTGAGCAGAGAGGCGGGTGGGCCTAGGCTGTAGGCAAAAGGTATTTGGCTGTGAACAGAGAGATGCTCTCAGATATACTAGAACATACAGCTATTTCTCAGCGAGGCCCGAAGGCCCCTTCTGCCCTGCCCTGGGTGGAACCCTGAACAAGCTGTATAGCCAGAAGCCTCAGAGAAAGTTCCTTGTAAATGCAGGTTTGGAAATGCCTGGCTCCCAGCCTGGCATCAGTGAACAGGGTACGCTTCCAAGTTGGGGGTGTGGCCTAGACACTTAGCCCCTTCAGGACCTGGATTTGGGCATTCTGCATGTGCTGCTGAGGCATAGTTCCCAGGATTGAACCACAGGAGTAAAAGGGATTTAAGGATGTTCTCTAGAGGGCTTTTTAAAGGATGTTCTCTAGAGAGCTTTTTAAAAAATTGAAATGCCTCCAATAACATACACTATTATTGCTCATCAGATAGTGCTGTGCAGAGGTTCTGGAAACCAGCAACTTCATGTTTCTAGTTTTAAGATTTTGCTTTAGATTAGTGGTTCGTTGGATTTTATACCCTTTGAATGTATTGAATGTCATACATTTTGGAAACCTACTGAGAACTATAGATCCTATCTTCAGAAATATGTGTCACAGGTAGAATGCTGCATGCAATTCCAGGGACTACACAGATACCCTTGGAACCAACCCATGGGTGCCAGCGGATCTGCCTCAGATAAAACTGAAAGTCCTTTGTTTCTAATTTTTCTCAGTCTGAATTAAAATAATTGACATATAAATTATTTCTGTCTCCTAAACATCGGGTGCCCTGGATTAGCTAACCGTACTAATAGGAGGGCATACCTCCCGTTTTCAGAAAGCTTTGGTGGTTGAGAACTGTAATGTTGATAAGAATTGTGTCTCTTGGTTTTCACATGTGGCCTGGAGGTATCTGGGTGTGGCTGGTTAAGCTCTTTCTGAATGTCTCTTCTCTCCTTTCTGTCCCTTGGATATAGCCAAGCCCATCCGCCCTGGACACTACCCAGCATCATCTCCAACGGCCGTACACGCCATTCGAGGGGGAGGAGGCGGCTCCTCAAACTCCACTCACTCCCAGAAATAAATATGAAGTGAGTCCCTGGTGTCGGGTCGGGTGGTTTCTGTCCAGGGAAGCCCTGGGCCCGATCCCTGGCCCTGCTGGCTCCCAGCCATGTGCACGTGGACCTGCATCAGACAGGGGACAGCTTTCCTCCACGACAGGACGTGGGGTTCAGGTTATCAGGGACCTGAGCCTATCCTCAAGTCAATCTAGAGCCCCAGAGTCTTCTAGCTGGGGCCATCTGGCGCCAGCATCCCTCCAGGGACAGGTGAGGGTGTGGTGACTGAGTCACCTGAGCTTTCCTCTGTCTGGGGGACTCCCCTCTGTAGTTGGCATCCAAAAGGGCACTACCCATTTGTCAACAGCTTTTACTCAGAACAGACAGACGTGGGTGGTTAAATCTCAGGAACGGAATATAAAGAAAGAGCCAAAAAAAAAGGAAAAAAAAGAAAAGAAAGAGCCAGATAATAGAGTCAGATTTTTGTAATTACTGTCTGAACTCAGCAAATGGAGTTTTTAAGAACTATGTTAATTTATAATTCTATAAATATTATATATAATATTATAATTGGTAGAGCCAGAACACTTTTTCTTTGAGATGGTGGGCTGTAAACTTCTCTTTCCACAATGTACACGCCCAGTATTGTTCTACTAGCAGAAAGGGGGAAAAAGTGATATGCTTTGGAAGAGAGAAGGAGAGAGCACAAGCCTATCCTTTTGTATTTGAGATAGAGAAAGGAAGTTACTGGTTGGGCAGGGCAGACAACTAGGTAGCTAGAAAACTCTATTGAGAAAAACTGACTTTGAACCAGTAACCGGTGGATGGGAGGAGGTGGCTCCAAACATCCTTGGACTCCAAGCCCTCACTAAGGAATCTAGCTTGTGAGATGGGTGAGCTGGCAGAGTGAAGCTTCAATGGCCAAGGGCAACTTGGGAGAGCAGTGTTCCTCATCCAGACCTTTTTGCACCAAGATAAGGAAGGTGAACTGAAGGCGTCGTTCAGGAGAGGTGGCAGCCCTGCTCAGGAGGAAGCTTGGTGGCTGTACCCAGATGACTTTCAGCTGTGCTGCCTCAGGCAGCATTCAAGGAGCAGGACAGGGGCTGGTCAGATTAGCAGGAGCAAAAGGGAAGGCTGTGGCAGCCCGGGAGTGGGCAGCGTGTCCACCACCATCTGCTATATCCTAGGAGAGAAGTAGATGGGAAATTACCCTGGCAGTGGGTCACCCCATTCAGATCTCCCTCTTGAGTCAGAAATAACATAGGATATTATAAAATTGCTTTTGACTGCCATGTGGTTAGTATTGGGGTTGACCCTGCAGGGAAACTGTAAGATCGAGTCGGGCAGCTTAGAACAGATCAGCCTAAAGCACTGTTTTTTGAACTTTGGTGGGTGTCGGTATCATCTGGCACGCAGAGACCCAGGCTCGTTGAGGAAGCATAGGGCCTGGGCCTTGGTATTTTTACCAAGTACCCCAGGTGGTTTTGTTTGCCACCAAAGCTGGAGAACTAGTGTCCTAAAGTAACAATGGCTTACACAGGATGGAAGTGTAATTCTTGGTCACATAAAGGAAATTTGAGGTGGTCTGTCAATGTCTGGTAAAAGGACTCTACAGTGAAAACAGAAAGCTAGCCTCTTAAATTTAGACTCATTGTCCTCAACAAGTACCTTCCTTCCTGAAGGTCACCTCAAGGCCACCAACATGACTTCTACAATTTATGTTCCAAGTGTAGTAAGCAGAGAGAAAGCAGGGAAGGGGCACAATCAGCTCTCCCACTGAATCAGCTTCCTTTAAGCAGCCTTCCCTGAAGCCCCGCACAATCCTGATGCCCGCATCCCTGTGGTGTAACCGAGGCATATAGCCATATCTAGCTGCAAGGGAGGCTAGAAAAGGTGGTCTTTGGTTGGGCGCACCGCTGCCCCAAATAAAAGTAGTGTTCTTTTGCTGAGGACAGGGAAATGGATGTTGGTGTGGGCTACCAGCACTCTGTATTTATGACACATCTAACATGCAGCAGCACTGTGCTACAGTCGATGTAGGATATACATTATTCCATTTGGGGTAAGCACGCAGAGAGGTTTCTGTGCGTGGCTACCAGCAAGCTCTTAATAAATATACCGGCCCTAGGCACTCTGGGTCCAGAGACTGTGCAGTGGACAGTCACGTCCTTAATGCTGCCCCATAAAGGTCTGTCACACCCACGTGTCAGGTATGTACAACCAAATATTGGCCACTCGTTACCCAAATATCCTCCTTTCACACTGAAGAATGAAAATCAGTAGGTCTCGTGAGACTTTTAATACCTTTACAGTGACAGAGCCACCTTCAACCATCATGGTGATTTGTTTCTTTCTTTACTTATAGTGTTAATGAGTGGTAGTGATATTTTATCTGAAGCTGGAACCTCCTCGACCCACTTTATATATACGCACAACTCCTGTAGCTGGGCACTTTTCTCACAACGTCACAAAACAAACAGGTCCCCTTTCCCATTGTCAGGATAGTGGTATGGTTGCGGTGCCCAGCTTTGAACAAGAGACCTGGTCATTGTCAGGTTTTCCACTTTCTTCAAGTTATTTTATATCTCTGAGTCGGTTTCCTCATCTCTGAAATGGGAGAATCCTTTCTCTGGGTCATTCACATTGATATGAGGACTAAATGAGGTCATACTGCTAAGTTGCTTGGTGTATAACAAGTGCTCAATTAAAACGTCAGCTTCTAGTATAGATTAGCAGTGCAGTACTTGGCACATAGGTAGTTGATAAATGTTGGTTTATAATCTTTAATTCACATAGTTGTTACAAAATAATTTTTACCCTTCTCTGCAGCAGTAGATTATAACCACTGAGTGGAGAAGGCCCATATCTGAGTATCCTGTTTGCTTCTATGAGCAGATAAAAGGGGTTTTAAAGATGCTATTTTTTTTTTTACCTAAAAGCTATGAACAAGGACATTGATTGTTTTTATGAAAATGACTGGGCGTTTGTCAGTGGAAGTAAAAAAAAAAAAAGGATAGTTACCAATGGAATATGGAATTATAATTGGAAGTGAGGAAACAATCATTCTTAAAGAAATAATTGGAAATATGGCGTTTATTGTTTAGATGAGATAAAACCCTTTTGAGGTGGTATTTCTGGATCCTTGGGATTGATTCTCAGTCTGAAGTGTGTCTGCCGTGGGTGGAAATGATCTCAGCTGCTGACTGCCCAGCCCTCCTGGCGGAGCCGGGGCGGCACATTCATATTAGAGCGGCATCTGGATATCTTTGTGGTTTCCTTCTGCCTCATTTCAGGGTTCAAGAAATACAATCACAGCAAGTATTTCAGTTTATTCTCAAGGTTTGAGAAGAACTAAAGGTGTAGAAGTCAAGCTAGAGAAACCAGCATGTAGAAATCAGAAGAACCCAGGATAATTCTGGCTGTGTTGTCTAGTTCATTCAGATCTAGGGGGCTGCCTCAGGGAGACAGTGACCGTATTTTTCAGACCTCAGAACTGGACATGGAGCAGTATAGTCCAGTAAGCTAAGGCCATGGAACATGGGCTCGGCCAGACCTGGGTTCTAGCCCTGGCCTTGGTTTATTCCTGTTTGACATCGAGGCAGTTGTTTGAATTCCTTCAGCCTCAATTTTCTCGTTCACAAAATGGGATCAGGTATTGAGAGCCTGTTCTGGACTTGGTTTAACAGTGAGTGAGACAAAGAAGGCACTGTTTTTGCACAGTAATATGTTTTTTGTGTTTTTTTTTTTACGGGGGTAGGGGGGTGGGGGATGACAGCATATAAACAAGGTAATTTCAAATAGTGGTAAGTGTCCTGAAGAAAATAAGAACAGGTTAATAGAATAGAGTTGAGGGATGCTTATTTAGAAAGACAGTGATGATATTTGAGCTGAGAACTGAATAATGAAAAATGGCAGTCCCCCAAATGACCTGGGACAGAGTGACACAGGCACTCGCTGGAATGATTGTGGCATATTTGGGGAGCCATGGAAGGCTAATAGGGCTAAAGCACAAAAATCAGAGACCATCATAATTTGGGTTGTTGGGGACGGAGGTGGGGACTAGATAAATGAGGCCTTCGAGGCCCAGGCGAGGAGTTGGGAGTGTGATCTATGTGTGGGGCCACCAGAGGGGCTTTGAGATGGAAGTGATGGGACCTGGTTTATAATGGGAAAGGGCCATCCTGGGCTGGGCTCTGGATAAAGGATGGGGGTGGGGTGAGAAGAGCTGGGGCTCCCCTAGGGGCCTACTGGGGGTGTCCACGTGGGAGAGAATAGCACCGGGTGAGGTGGTGGCAGCAGAGGTGGTGGCAAGTGGTATGGGTGGAACCCAAAAGTGGTTCCTAGGTTTGGACCCTAGCAACCAGGTAAAGATTGGTACCTTTTAGCATGACTGGGAAAATTGGGTGATGAGCTGGTTTTGTAGAAAAACTGAAAGTTTGTCTTTCATCATGCTGATTATGAGATTTCTCTTAGACATCCAGCCTAGCTCACCATCCAGTGTATATGTTGCGTGGTATGTTGAGTGGGCAGTTGGATCGATGAGTCTGCAGCTGAGCAGAAAAGTCGGGGTTGAGGTGGTAGAGAGGTATGACCTGTAGATTGTGTTTAAGGCCATGGGTCTGGAGAAGGTAACTTGGAGGAAGGGTGGACAGAGGCAGAGAGGTGGGCGCATTAGACCAGGCCCTGGGACTGGTCAGAAAAAGGAGGTGGCACCAGCAAAGGGTCCTGAGAAGGAGAATGTGAGGTTTGGGGAGGCAGAGAGGAGACCCGGTTCCTAAACAAGGCGGTCATCTATGTCAGGCTGCGCAGAGGAGGAAGATGAGCACAGCGACGCATGGTTGGTGAAGGCCAGAGGGCGGTGATCTCCGGCAGCTTCAGCCGAGAGGGAAGCAAACCCAGGTAGCTCAGAGCAGAGAGGAGGAGGTGGAGAAGCGGGGTCAGCAAGTGCACCGGCTTGGGGTTTTATTTGAACGGACAGAGGAATGAAAGGATGTGAGGTTAAGATGGGGCTTGCGTTTCTTTTTTGAGATGGG